GTCCCGTCGGAGTGACGGCCACCCCTCCTGGGATGCGGGCGTCTGACCGCTGAGAATAGTCTTCATCCCAAGCTGCCGGCGTTCCCAGAGTCGATGGCTTCAGACGCCCCCAACTCATATTTTACCGAGGCCAGTCTTGACTTAGCGTGAAGGACGAAGTAGAAAAAAATCAGTGGAGGGAGAAGGAAGGGCGAGCTGGCACCGCGACCTAGGCAGAGGTAATTGTGCCCGGACACGGCAGCAGCCGGATCTGGCTTTCTCCTAAGTGGAACACCAGCAGACTAGTGTAGGGTGAGTAAAAAGCGCAGGGCCGGGTGACACCATGCTCTGGCCAGGAGGGGCAGATGGGACAGGGCTGGTTCGGGGAGACTGGGGGGTGAGCCCATCTGGACCGGCTGGGTTCCAGGGTTCCTGGGTCACCCGATAGAAATGTCAGGCAGGCAAATTTGAGAATCTTAAGTACATAATTTGAAGTTCTTGTCATATAAATGACATTTAAGTGAATGTAGACAGAAGATAATTGAAAACTCTTTTTCAGATCTTTGCAGTTTACTATCATGGGAGCTCTTTTAAAATACCTGTTTTCATTATCAAGAGAATAAAAAGACAATCTACAGCATGGTCTCCCATATTTGCAAACCATACATCTGATGAGGGGTTAGTATACGCAGAACTCCTAAAACTCAAAAACAAAAACAAACAACCCAATTAAAAAATAGACAACGAACTTGAATAAACATTTCTCCAAAGATGTGTGAGTGATCAGTGATAACCACTGAAACAGATGCTTAGAATCACTCATCACCAGGGAGATGAAATAAAAACGAGCATGAGATGCCCCTTTGCAAACATTAGGGTGGCTTTTACCAGAAAACTGGAAAACAGCAAGCGCTGGCAAGGATTTGCGGGATCGGGACCCTCGTGAGCCGTTGGCGGAATGTACATAGTGCAGCTGCAGAAGGAGGGTGTCCGCCCGCAGCAAAGCAAGAGCGCATTACCGGGTGTGCAGCCACTTCATTCCTGGCTGGCTACATACTCAACAGAACCGAAGCAGGGGCCTGAGATATCCGCACACCCGTGTTCACCGAAGCATTATCTAAAACAGCTGAAGTGTGAATATGTCCCTTGTCAGAACGGATTAGCAAATGGTGGTAAATACACGGTAGAATCCCGTGGAGCCTGGAAAAGGAAGGCAGCTTTGACAACCTGCACTGTGAACCTTGAGGACATGCTAACCAGTGAGCCAGCACAGGCACTGTGATCCCACTTGGCTGAGGTCCCTCGAGTATCGGAACCACAGACAGAAAGCAGAACGGTGGGCGCAGCTGAGGGGAGGGAAAGACGAGGAATTCTTGTTGACCGAGTCCAGAGCTGGAGCTCTGCAAAGTGAGAGAGCTGGCAGCTGGACACTTGCCTCATCCCTGACGGCTACACAGGCATGAGTGTCCTCGAGACGCCAAGCTGCACATGGACAGTGAAGACGGCACTTCCGTGATGTGCCCCTTGCCCTAATAAAACACTGAGAGCCTAGTAGCATGCACCGGAGGTCCACGCTGGTCACCAGTGACACGGTGCAGGACACACAGCCCCGTGAGGCCCGGCCGCGAGTGCGGCTGTGAAGACAGCTTGAAGGGCAGACCCCAGAACGACAGAACTAGAGACAACAGTCTCAGCTGTTGGCTTATTTTAAATCGTCATTCTGAATTTATTTTTCCAACAAGTAGCTAAAATCTTCACATGATTAGGGAATTCAGTGGCCACCGGGGTAGAACTCGGGCTGCAGAGCCCCATCTGTGGGTTCTGATGGACGTAAAGGCTCTTTAGTTGCTGTTTCTGGGCTTGTAGCTCCGAGGGAGAGCCGTCAGACCCCTGCCCTGTGACCATCCAGGAGGCATCTCACCTGCAGCCTCATACTGAAATGTCTCCTGGTGATTTATTTCTTGAGAGGGTGCGAGGGTCCGGGCAGCCCACCCAGTCGACTGTGAGGGGTCCCTGCTGAAGTACTGCTGGCTGCACCGCCAGGGCCCGGCAGGGACTGCTGCCCCAGGGTCTCCTTCCCAAGTGTCACGTCCTCCTGCGTGAAGATGGCCCTTTTTTGTGGAAACACCTAGAGAAATCAGTTCCTAAACAGAAAATAAAAACCAAAAAAAGTTAGTAGACTAGAACACACCCAGGGATGGCAAGAAAACAACACTGCTCTTTTTACGCCAAGTTTAAGAGCAGAACTAGAACAGGCCTGCTCCGACACAGCCTGAAACCAAAGCTGATGGGGTTGTGGTGACTCACCAGCGATCTGCTGCCTGCCAGGGTCAAACTCAACACCTTTTAGAGGAAAACAGCACAGCCTAGATAGACTCCACACGCAGCATTCTCTACTACATTCGGCACACGAGGAATCGCGACATGTAAGAGGTAGGAAGGTGTGAGCTGCGGCCCTGAGGGAGGGGCTCGGCTCAGGTGCCATGTGCTCGCGTGCGCTGCAGCCCAGGGCCGGCCCCGAACACAGCAAGTGCCGGTCTGACGCGCTGGGGGTGGGGCCGTGGGGGGCTCTCACTCTCGTGCGTGTGGGCATTCTCTGTACCATGGATAAAAATAAACTTAGAAGGAACCAACATATTCCTCAGAAAGAAACCCTAAAATGACATAGATGATGGAACTAGCAGGCAAGGACTTAAAACAGCTGTTAAAACTATTTTCAAAAATTTAAGGAAGAAAAATGGGCATAAAGAGTGAAAGTTAGGGTCTATCAGCAGAGAAAGTGGAAATTATTAAAGAAAAGAAAAGAAAAGAAAAGAAAAGAAAAAACTAGATAGAAATTTTAGACCTGAAAAGTACGGTATCTGGAAACGAAGAAATGCCCTGACCCCTGTAGGATCTTGGTTTCTGCAGAAGAGTCAGTAAGATTGAAACAGGAAGAAGAACTGAAAATAAAGCCAGGGCCTCGGGGCAATGTCCGGCAGTCAGACACACAGGAACTGCCATCCCGGCTGAGGTGGGAATCCGAGGGACGTAACCTGTGCCCACCGCCTACACCCCACCCCTGCGTGGACGTTTCGGGGTCCATCTGAGCGACCTGCAAGCACAGCAGGTGGCCGTGAGATACCCAGAGATCTCCTAGACCGTCTGCTTCCCATGTGTTGAGTCTACTCAGCAAATACCTGTACTGAGTCCATAAAAAGTATCTCTAAAACATCGTGTGGTTTGGATGGTGACAAACCATAGGAAACACTTCATGACTTTGCAAAAAGATTGTGGTTCACCCACTCTGAGCTGCCTCTGCTCAGGGAGGGCGTCGGTGTGAGAGCGCCCTCCTCCGGCCTCCGCTAAGTTCGACTCACATGGTACTTCCTCTAGGAAGTGGCTCCAGTAAGCAGCTACAATCTCGCTACACAGTTGAGCTCCTGTCTTTCGACAGGCACCAACAGGCAGCCCTCGGGCTAGGGCTCTCTCAGACCTGCAGGCAGAGATGCCTGGCAGTTCTGGGCAGTGCCCGATGCTCCAGACACACACACAGAACCCCAGGCCTGCTGGTTTTCTGCCGTCCTTCCTGGGCTGCTTGAAACCAGGTTTCCAGCAGTAGCGATGCCAACCTGCAGGTGACCAATGGCAAGGACTGGCTTGTACTCCCCCTGGGAACTCGGAGTCGTCTCACCTGCTGGGCCTCCGCCGCGTCTTTCTGCGCCCTGACGGCTTCTACTGAACAGTGACTCGGATCTGGAAGACGTGGCTGTCCAGTGCCCGGTTAGCAATGAACTCAGCTCTATTTTAGACCACTCCCGGGCTCTTACTCCCTCTAGCAAGGCCGTGGTTTCCATAACCACATCTTCACTTACTCTTTCACAGTCTGGGCCAGTCCCGGCTCTCACCTCCCACCCTCCCTGACAGTGGCCTTTGCCTCCCAACCGCAGCAACGCCGTGCCGTTTACTTACCCAATCCTGCTGCAAAATTTTGTCACAGACATAAACTTCCTGAGTGCAACAAACGGGTCAGTTCCAAATATGGGTGTGGACGATGTGCTCTCTAACAAGGGCAGGGACACCAGGGTGGCGTGTTGGGCACCCACCTCGTGCGCCCCTGTTTCTGGCAGTGGCCACGTCCAGTCTTAGGAAGGACCGCGGGGCAGGAGGTGACACTTGGGCGAATGAGCCTCACCTTTCCCACCCCCATTGCTCAAAGCACAACTCTTTCCTGAGGAGGGGTGCCTTAGTCTCTTAGTATAAGCCATCTCTCCTTTGATTTACGTTATTTATAAAACATCCAGACTTAAAAATAAATATATTAATTATTTATGAGAACTGTGAGAATACTCATATAAATGTGAATAAGCTTAATGTTTTTATTCCTTCAAAGTTGCCCTGGAGACTGGGAAGGCAGTGGGTCGTACAGGACTGCAGTAAACCTCTGAGTGCACAGCCTATGGCCACAGCTGCCCAGGTGCTGGACACAGGCCCACCTGGCGACTGAGCCGGTGCCCTGCCCGGTGTCCTGTCTGCACCTTGCACAAAGTGTAAAATGGCACAGGCGTTTTTCAGGGATTTGTGGGGAAAAAAACTAGGAGTTAAAATATACGCTTATGAGACTGAAGCATGGAGTTTGTTTCCATCTTCCAAGGTGATCATTACGTGTACTGTCACAGCATCGGCGAGGAGGCATCTGGGGGTGACACACACTTAAAAAGAACAGACGCACGGAGTAGGAGGGGCACTCCATAGCTCAGTGCGCAGAGGCAGCCTCGGTCGGCTTCTGAAAAATAGTGGTTTTGGAAAGGGCTCAAAGGAGCTTGTATGAAAAAAATATTTGTTCCAGGTCAATAGATTTTTTTTATCTGATTTTCAGAATAAGCAACATCAAAGCTATTTCCTGAAATCTAAAACAAATCTGCCTTTCAGCATTTTCTTTTTCCATTGACAAGGATGGTCAGTGAACTGGTTTATGCATAACTTCAAGAATACAGGCAGGAGGTTGGCCAGAGAATCCACGTGAGTCGCCGTGGTCTGACTGGAGCTCCCAGGATCCGTCTCCAGGATGCGATGCCAGGGCTGGGCCTGCCCTCCCTTCCTCGTGACACTTTCCACACACCTGCTACACCTGCCACTCTTCTCCCTTCAGCATCCCTGCCATGTTCACTTCCTACAGGCTACTGTCCCATTCCTCCTGCTGCTGCGTCTTCTCCTTCCTGCCCTGTGTGGTGTGGGAGGACAAGTCAGACCCACACCCTGGACCTCGTGAAGGGCCTCCCTCCGTGAGGACAGACCTGGGCCGGAGTCCTTCAGGCCTGCTGGATTTCCAGCTGCTCCCTCCAAACCCAACTCTGCAGCTTCTCTGCACTCTCCACAAATCCCTGAAAAACGCCTGTGCCATTTTACACTTTGTGCAAGGTACAGACAGGACACCGGGCAGGGCACCGGCTCAGTCGCCAGGTGGGCCTGTGTCCAGCACCTGGGCAGCTGTGGCCATAGGCTGTGCACTCAGAGGTTTACTGCAGTCCTGTACGACCCACTGCCTTCCCAGTCTCCAGGGCAACTTTGAAGAAATGAAAATATTAGTTTTTACAATTAAGACATTGTGGACAGAAGTCTGACTACTTTTCCTATTTTTCCAAAATCTTTACAAAAGGGGACTGGAGAAGTCATGCCCACAAACATGAACAGACCATTTACTTTCTATTAGCAGGATTCTTCCAACCTCCTGTCCCTGATGTGTATTTCAACCGATTACAGTGCATTCTTGTGCTTATCCCTTCCCAAGACACAGAACTTCGCTTTTCCTTGAGATGTAGATTAAGCCTTTCTTTAACTAAGACACAGATCTTCCCTTCCAATCACCAACCTAGAAATTGTGGAACCCACCTATAACCTATAAGCCACCGCTTCTACATGTCCCGCCTTTTTGGGCCAGACCAATGGGAAATCTCTTCCTGAAATGTTGTCTGTCAATCTCAAAAGCAAATAAAAGGAACCCCTGTACATGATCACCCCGGGAAAAGGCATGCATGCCTCTTCTCCGGCCTAGGTCACTCACGGTTGGCTTGGAAATAAACCGCATTAATTATTAATTTTACAGTTGGTTATTTTTTCCCGTCGACAACATAGACCCCCAGGCTCCGTGCACTCAGCCACATCTGGGCCAGAGTGGCCTTCACAAGGTGAACTAACCAAGAACCTCCCCGGCCAGGCCGAGAACCCAGCAATGGCTCTTGAGCGACTCTGGGAGAGCCACACCTGCTCCCAGCAGACCCGGAGACAGACCTCTCTGGCCGGTGCCACTGTCCGGTGATGGAGGAGCCAGTGAGCCAGGTACTCTATCGGGTCGCTAGGGCGGACCTTGGCCACCTCTGCTAGGGCCTGGGTCAGGCCATTTCCAAAGCAGCTCTTCAGGTAGTCCGTTTCCATGCTAGTTCCTGAAAAATACCAAAACAGAGTTGTGTCGTTTTACAGACGTACATTCTAAACAACTCAGGTTTATTATAGAACACAAATGAGATATTTCTAGATCCCACCCTTTCCCAGATATCCAACAAATGTGCTTACGAATAGCTCTTCTGCTCAAACGGGCTGTTTCCTCCAGCTCTGCAGCTGCACCAGGTCACTCAGCGGGTCTGATCTGAAAAGAGCTTGACATACTGGCGGGGTCGAGGTGGCTGAGGCTCCGCCTACCCACAAGGTCCTCCTGGGGAGGGAAGAAACACCTGAGCCTCAGGGGGCCCCAGGAGGGGCCCTCAGCAACCAGCCAGCTGTGCTATTGTGAGGTTGGGGACAGAGCTGTGACACGGGCAGGAGGCTTCTTTATTGCACAAGGGGCAGGCCTGCAAAGAAGAGGGAGGGAAGGGCTGGGCCTCAGCTCCTGCGGGGCAGGGCAGCCCACACTGACTGTATTCCGCTCTCTGCTGCATAAGCAAGAAACCTTCCTGCTGGGGTTCCTCCAGTTAATACTATTCATAGGATTTCAGGACCTGGAGGCAACACAGTGTCGACGGAAAAATATAACCAACTGTAAAATTAATAATTTAATTAATGCAGCTTATTTCCAAGCCAACTGTGTGACCTACGCCAGAGAAGAGGCACACATGCCTTTTCTCGGGGTGATCATGTACAGAGGTTCCTTTTATTTGCTTTTGAGATTGACAGACAACATTTAATTAAGAGATTTCCCATTGGTCTGGCCCAAAAAGGCGGGACATGTAGAAGCAGGGGGGCATAGGTTATACTTGGGTTCCACAAATTCTTAGGTCCGCTGATTGGAAGGGAAGACCCCTGTCTTAGTTAAAGAAAGGCTTAATCTACATCTCAAGGAAAAGGGAAGTTCTGTGTCTTGGGAAGGGATAAGCAAAAGAATACACTAATTGGTTGAAATATGCATCTCAAAGATACTATGCCAGGGACAGGGCCAGGAACTGGAGGTAGGAAGAATCCTGTCAATAGAAAATAAATGGTCTGTTAATGTTTGCGGGGATGACTTCCCCAGTCCCTTTCGGAAAAGTAGTCAGACTTCTGTCCACAGCACCAGAGGCAGAATGGCAGTTAGGAGGTAACAGCACGCAGCCAAGGACAGTCTTGGGCCAGGCGGTCTGGTTTCCAGACCTGGTTCTGCCACGCCAGCCATGGGAGAGCCAGCAAGTCACTCAGGCTTTCCGAGCCCATCTCCTCATCTACAGAGCAGAAATCACAAACGTATGTGTCAAATAATAATGAAAAGGTTCGAGGAGATAATACGCTCACACAGGCCTGGCACACAGTCTTTAGGAAATTAGGACCAGGCCCAGCAGGTGGTTGGTGTGGTGGTTAAGGTGCTGGGCTCCTACATAGCTGACTGAGGTTCAAGTCCTGGACCTGGTGGTTTGAAAATCACGCCGTGTGTGTGTGTGTGTGTGTGTGTGTGTGTGTGGGCGCGCGCGCGCGCGCGCCCAAAAACATCATTATGTCTTAAGCCATTGGCCTTATGTCTTAGTGTTGTGGCCGTCGCCCCGGGGAGTGATTTCTCACTTTGCCTGTCTCTGTCTCTCTCCAGTAAGTGCAGGCTCCCTATTGCAAAAACCTAACGTAAATAAGTAAGCACCTGTTGCAGTGGGGGTCCCTGCCACGAGGCCCACACCTGGCCTGCTCCAGATCCCTCCACATTCCAGACATTTACACACATGAACTTCCAAAGGGCCAGGCCCAGCCCGCATTTCCAGTCTGTTTCCAGTTCCTTCCCTGTCTCCCGTTTCTGTTTCCCAGTTTAAGGAAGGACGACGAAGACGAACTGGCCTGGATACAGAAGTGCACGTCCCTGGCTCCCCACACAGGGCTAGGAGGCACCTGCTCCAGCAGCGGACGTGCCAGGCCACGGACGTGTTTTAAACAGTTTTCGTCGCTTAACAGCAACCAGGGCTCCTCGCAGAGATGGCGGTTCTGAGACAGGCAGAAGTCTAGTGGGCCTGGAACAGAGTCTTGTACCAAAAAGTAAAATATTTGAAAAAGTAAAGTGGTCGGAGACCCAGGAGCCAGCCCGAAGGCGTCCATGAACACACCTGGGGCCACACGGCTGTTACCAAGACCACGACGGCAGCAGTGTCTGCAGGCGGGGAGGCGGCTGCTCTGTGCCGACCCTGTGGCAGCTGCCCAGGACACGTCTGTGGAGACTGTCACACAGAAAATGAAATGAAACCCAAGACAGATTCAGAGAATAACACACAAGAAAAGGGCCAAGGCCGGTGCAGTCTGACGTACCATAGGACCTGAGGATCCAGGGGGACTCTATCAAGCGCTGGACGCTCTTGTTAGCAGACGTGACAAACAAAGCTGTCACACGTGACATCATCTCACTTCATTTAAACCACATTGTACTTATAATCTGTCAATACTTTGTATAAAGATATTTTTTGTCCAGTTATGTAACTTTTTTTTTCTTTTTTTTGTGATAGGGTGCGTGAGCTCAACAGAGACAGATGGTGGGGTAAGTTACAAGCCAGCCCCTGGCACAGTCTTCAAGTCGCCGTAGCCCTCCAACGGCCCAGCCCACGTGTGGGTCCGGCTGCCTTAACCTTCATGCCAGCTGCTGGCCCAACTGTATGACTTTTAAGGTAATTCTGTTGTATCTCATCTGATTCGGGTGCGTGCCACAGAGATATGAAGATACAGAGAGAAGGAGGTGGGCTAGAAAGCACCCTAATAGTGTGTCACCCAGAATCCCTTCTCCATTGTGCCATCACACACACACACACACACACACCAGTGTATTTTTCAAGCCGCTGGGTCTGGGACTTGAACCATACAGTCAGTCATGTGGGATCCAGTTCACTTAATTACTAGGCCACAGCGCTGGCCCTAAACTATACTTTAATAAGAACCTTCAAGAGGGAACCAGCAGTCAGCGTAATGGCTATGTCGCTGGACTCCCACATAGTCGACAGCGGTTCGCGTCTCGGACCCGGTGGCTTAAAACTCACACCGGGCACGTGTGCGTGCGTGCCCAAGATCCCGAGAGGAGAATGGAGGAGAAGGGATTGGTGTGACCATCGCCCCTGGGGGGTGATTTCTCCTTTTCTGTCTGTCTCTGTCTGTCTGATGAGCGCACGCGCCCTATAGTGAAAATCTCTCCAAAAAAAAAAAAAAAAAAAAACTCCAAAAAAAAAAAAAAAAAAAAAAAGAACCTTCAAGAGTGCTTGATAAACAGGAGGTGGAGCCCTCTGAAGGTCTGATTCAATAAGTTCTTTGGAAACAAACAAAATAACCAGAAAAACTTTAGGTTACAGTTCATGGAATAAAACATAAAAGTCCCTGAGTTCACAGGAAAATAAACAAGTAGATAAACGAGAAAGAAGGCAGAGTCTTTCTTTCGATAGAGCACGTATGCGCACGTGGAAAGTGCGTGTGAGAGGCGCCCTCCACGCTCCGGCCACGCTGCCTCTGCCCTTCAGCTCTGGGCCCCTGGGGAGCCTGCCCACGGTTTCAGGCCGTCCGGGATGGACTCGAACCCTGTTTGCGTGGGAGATCTGGCTCCTCTGTAGCGCCAAGTTACCGTTCCACGGAACGGGTCGGTAAAAGCCCTTTCTGACAGGGGCCGCTGCTAAGTGTGGAAATAATGGGGTTCGAAACTTTCCACTTAGAAACCGTCACAGCAGGGCTGACCCAGGCCTGAACCTTTAATAAGCATGAAAGCCGGCAAGGGTCTGATGAGGAAGAGGACACTTAGAGTTTCTAAGTTTCTTCCCACAAATAATGTATTAATTGCAAAGAAAATAACAAGGTTTTACGGCAGTGACACCGGCCAGCACAGCCTACCTAGGGGGGCAAAGCAAACATTGCCAATGAAGGGCAGAGTGGCATCACCTGACTGAGGTGACACACTGCTTATGGGTATAATGGATTCATGTGGATTCCTGTTCAAAATGCAAAGGTGGAATCTAATTGAGGAAATAGTAAACAAACCAACTGAGACCAGTCTAGAACTAGTCTGTACTCTTACAAATGTCGAGGTCATGAAAAATAAATGAGGAAACATTACAGAGGAAGGAAGATTAAGCAGTTATAAACGCCATGGCACGTGTGATCCTAGGCTGGATCTGGGTCACAGACAGGTTTTATAAAGGACATTGTTGGGGAAATGGGACGCACTGAATGTGAGCGGTAGGTCAGGCAATAGGACCTATTGGGGCTAAACTTCTTGATCCCAAATGACTGGACTGAGAGGCCGTGTGCTCCAGGGCTGCACATTTGCTGCCTGAGGGTCTGTGTCCTTCCTGGCACCAGGAATGCGTTGTCACACGGCCCAGCTGATGGGATTCAGGACCTTGAGGTGGGGTCATCCTGGGCTACCCAAGCAGGGCGGACTGTCTCACCCGGTCGCTACAACGGGGACCTGCATGGGGACCACGAGCCAAGGGCAGCCTCTACGGCTGGAAAAAGCAAGGGAAGCATCTTCCGAGAACCTCCAGAAGGAGCCAGCCTTACCAGCCCTTAGGGTTCATTTCGGAGTTCCAATCTCATGGAAGAGAATGATTTTTTTTTAGAGAGATTTTTGCTATCGGGCATGTATGCTCGCCCAGCATGAGCCTTAAGCCCCCAGGTCTGGGACTAGAACCTGGGTCCCCTACATGGGGAGTCCAGCAGTGTACCCATTAGGTCATCTGTTGGTCTCCAAGAATAAATTTCTTTAAAGCCACCAAGTTTGGCAGGGCGCTCAAGGGCGTAGGGGGAGTGGTGGGTCTGGGTCCACCTGAACCAGGCAGCTCACACACCTGTGCTCCAGCGGGCCTTGCTCTTGCAGGACAGGGGCTGCCTGTTGGCGCTGTCCAGGCAGGTGGTGAAGGAGCCACAGCCAGCACCACAATGACCGGCCCAGGGAAGGGCTCGGCTCGGGTCAGGCCTCTTCCACCTGCACTGCCAGACCTCAGAGGAGAAGGTGCGACCTGGGCTGGAGGGCGCCTGCGTGGGCTGGGAGAGGCACCGGAGATCTGCAGCCGTGGGAATGCGGGCCATCCCGGACTGGG